TGTGAATTATGTATTTCAATGACTAATTCTAATTAAACTGTTATTTAATTCACATTCATACTGATTTCAATTTAATGTTGATTTCCCCCTCATCCTCAAATTACAAAAAAGAAAGAGGGTCTTTTGCTTCAAAAAACATTATCACAAATTTACTGAAGTGAGGTACTTGGAAACTGAATAAGAAAATCTGGTAACCCATTCCATCTGTGTGTATACAGTATCAGAAATTTTTATTTAAAAACAAAATTATCCCAAGTATTTCCACACAATATGCTCAGGAAAATTAATCATTAAAGGCAAGAAAAAAGAGCAAGTAAAGAAAAGACAAGTAAGAAATTTAGAATGAATTATGTAAAATTTTCTATAACTATGTAAAATGAACCAACAGTCAGACACATAACCAAAAGTTTACATATTTATATGAAATTCTGAAATTTAATGGTACTCTTTTGATAATTTCACTTCTTTTGGGTCTTTGTGAAATTGGTTCTAAATTTCGTATTTATTGTCTTTATATATATATGTGATGTACCAGCTTTAGTCGTAGCTTAAATTATCAGACGATAAGTTTAAAAAAAAAAAAAAAAAAAAAAAAAAAAAAACAGGATCCATTTATTATTATTCAGGAGAAATAGCAGTTACAAAATCAGATATCCAGAGTAAATAAAAAAGAACTACTAATAACATTTTGTATGAAGTTTACTGCATCGTGACATTTAAGAAAAAGCCCCGATATTCTTTTGCGAGTCCTTTTATAGCCTCTGGAAAGATGGAGCTTCCAAGAAATGACGTCAGCCAATCCAGTTCGCTTTAAATGTTTCCAGAACGATCTATAACTGTACTTGTAGAAAATGCGGGAAAAACAACTTGACTACGGAGCTGTGGATTTAATTCCATGTACTTTCAAATAAGAGAACATCGCCATTAAAAATGAGAAGAACATAAAGTTAGAATTTTAAGTGTATTCTTGACTATGGAATTTTATTATTACATATATACATGTAAGGAACAATATGTAAATCAGCTTTATAATTAAATTTAGCAATAGGCTTTTAATTCTTCAATTTGGGTAATTCCTCTCTGTATTCTAAAAATTGCAATAATTTTTCTGGGCTGCGTCATTTCTAGATCAATATATGACACATGGCTTGGGTAATGCTGATAACATATCCAAGTCAGAACTTGAACTCAAAATTTTGAGAATTGAAATCTTTCTAACCTAAACCAAAACCTTCTCTGGGTGAGCCTCAACATTAAATAACTGCACACTTTAGATTCTGCTTTCTTCAGGTAATGATGCTAATTCACTGTGCTTACTTCCTATTGTAACAGTCAGTATCAAAAATGTAAACAGGCATGATTAAGCGCGAAGTGAATCCTGACCACAAATGTTAATTTAAATAAAAGTGGAATTTAATCCGCCTCAAGTCTGTCTTAGTCATTACGGATTCAAAATTTAGCATTTTATGCAATCAGAATTTTTACTCTTCAATATGGATCAACGTTCTATAAATTTTATGTACTATGCCACCAACATTGCCACATTTTTTTCTCTTTTTCATCACATATATATATATAAATCCACATATTTTGAAAAATGTATGCATATATATATATATATATATAAACTAATTCATTTTATTCAAGATATAATAAACATGAATTCTAACAAAATGTTTATCATTTATAAGGTAGTTATCGCATTTATATCGAGGTCATCTTTTGCTGCTGGGAACTGCTTTTTAGATGCATAAAATGCTATCTATTGGATCTGCATATAAAAGAATAAATAAGATATTAAAAATGGCTAAGAAAAGCTTTTACATGATATTTTATAATACATAGTTTTTTAAAATATTTCAAATTGCTCCTCTTAAAAAAAGCATTACAGCAGTAAATTGTTACTTTTCAATTTGAGTAAAATTTGGTATGTAGGAGATTAATAATAGTTCTTCAAGAATAATTAATTTTTCAGTTTAAAAAAAAAATTTTAAATTTTCTCTATCTGTTTGCTTGTTTTATGCATGAAAAGAAAATATATACAAATGAATGTTTACAAACAGTTTTTGCATACCAAAATTAAACAATAACAAAGAAAAAATATAATGAAAATTGTTCTGTATATTTTCACACAGTTATGCATGTGTTAAGTACTTTTTATTTACATTAATGCATCTGCATTCAAATAATACTGAACATTTCTTTAAAAATTTGTTCAGTAGTGAAAATGCTTGTGTCAATGAATTAAACTATTTATACAGTGTTATTTGAAACAGAAGCTTAAAAGAACTTTAAAGCGTTTTGAATTCAGAGATGATGTTTAAATGTTAAAAACAGTATATGAAACTTCTTAAATGTCTACTGGGAAACTTATATTCATTAATTACTTAATTTAGATATTCACACTTCTTCATCTATGAACAGGGCTGGCTTTCTGCAAGCAAAGAATAGTCTTTGCCCTATCGGTGGCTGAAATTGGATATAACCAATTAAAACTGACAGAATTTGGCAACAGTTGGCAGGAGCTATAAAAGTATTTAAAATGTTTCAATTATCAGAAATATTACTTCACTAAATTAATTTCCACACATATAAAATAATATACATTAATAAAATATATTTATACTTTAACAATATTCGATTGGGTTTTTGGGATTAGGTTATTAAGCACACTAGGGCTATCTTCCTAAGGGGAGAGATGCCTTTGTGGAAAACATGCTAGAGAAACTAGCTCATATACATGTTACACATGGGAAAAACCATGAAAATGCCATGCAATTAGCCCGTTCACAGGATTCGAACCTCGGGCCGAACTACCAGTGTTCAGCGACTTTACTGCTCGGCCACTGCAGGGCCATTTGAGCAAGTATGTAATACTAAAAATGAATAAAGAGTAAATACATTTAATTTTGCTTATTCAACAAAATTAAGTGTTTAAATTAAATCTTTAATAATAAAAAAAAAAAAACAGAATGTATCTTTCCTTTAAGGCAGATGTTTTTTGCATGCTTTGATCACAAAACAAAGGGGGGGGGGATAAATAAATCAGCAAATTTTTGAAAAATAAAAAAATTTCTCACTGCCCTATCAGTTAATTGTATTATGTCTAATTTTTGATTTATGAATTTGATGGTTTTATGCGCAGAAAGAAATTAATAAAGAGGTTAGAGCAGAATGTTCAGAATGATGTTAATGCTAAACCCAATAGAAGGATAGCACACCACAAAATGTTCAGTGATAACACTAATAAACCTAATCACTTACTAGATATTTCAACTCCACTAACTAAGAAACTAAAATTAGAGTATGGGGAAAAAAGAACCTGAAGACAGACTTTCTACTTAGCACCCTTAAAAATGTGCAGAGAGATCTTACATGTGGTAATAGCAACATTCAAGCTGAAATCCATTCTGACAGTGAGCATTCTCCTTTACACACAGGATCTGTATATTACGTTATACAGTCCCTAAGAGGAAGAAAAAAAAGACTGGATAATGCAAATAATAAAAATGATTGCCTAGTACTATGGTGAATAGTTGAAATACATAATGCTGGATGAAGCATATGATGAACTGAAAACAGAGTCCATGGTGAAATGGTTACAATGATTAAAAATAGAATACAACTCTATAATGACTTTATTGCAATTAATACTGTTCATTACTAGTACTGAATATCTGCATTTTCTTTCATTCCATGAATACTGCTAATAATTGTGCAATGTAGCCAAGGTAGTAATAAGAGTAGACAGTAAAATGCAGTTATAAACTAAAAGCTGTTAAAATCGACTTAAATGAGGTAAAAAAAAGGCTTACAAAGCTATTTGACTCTTATAACTCATAACTGTATTACTCATTTTCTTGTGAAGTGTTATTAAGAAAGAAATCTTTAGAAAATATGACAGATAAGGTACTTGGCTTAGAAAAATACACAGCTATTGTAAAGTCACAAATGTGGAGAAGCACAAAATGGAACAGTTTGATAAACCCTTTAGGAAACTATTAGTACTGCTTACTAAGACTTGAAAATCATGAAGATACTGCAAAGTATTGTTGAAATGATAAACAATATCATGATTATTAAAGAAGGAGAGTGCTTGATATGGCTGTTAAAAAACATATTGCTCTTGCACTGGATATCCAAAAATTGATTGTTGTATTATGCTAATGAAATTCTGTTAATATTAATAGCTGACAAACTCACAGAAACTTCAAAGGGGGGAGTTTTAGTCAGACAATAAATAATTAAACATTACTTCATTCAAAGAGCATCATGGGATCTAAATTTCAAACGAGTGGGAGCAAATATAAGACTAATGCTGGATAAAGTATATGATGAACTGAAAAGAAATTACTTCACATTTTGTCCCTTACATTACTTACTTTCTTATCAGTTCCTTTACTTAACATATATTTTCTCATGAAGTTTTTGAAACCTTTTATGTGGCAGTCTAATTTAAATGTAATGCAAATGAAGACGGTAACATTTATTTGCACAATGATGATAGTCCTACAAGTACTGCTGGGTTTCAAAGAAAATTCTCCAACTTTTCATTTCTTTACCATAAATTAAAAACATTTTAAATTTTGAAACAGTGAAATTATTCTTCTGCTAAAAAAACTTTAGAAAAATGTTAGAATTTGAGTGGTGAAATATTATATATGACGGTTGAACAAGACTAAAGATTATGGTTCAGCAAGTTTAATTTTAAAACACATTTTTTTCTCCTACTTAGTGGACTATAATAAGCCATTAATTATGTTCTGAATTCTGCCATTTTTATGATAAACTAGTTCTGTCATGCCAGTTTTAGTTGGTCATTACGTTTAACAATTTCGGCAACATTTAACCAGCCCTGCCCTTGAAGAAGTAGAGAAAAGTCATTTTAAAATAATGATAAAATGGTAGTAAGTGAAACATTGCAATATACATATGAAACTTGAATCAACAGCATTGTACAAAATAATTTTTGCTCCTGAAGAAGGGCCATTCACACTGAATTCTTTTTCATTTTTTATTCAAATTAATTTCAAATCAAAATAAACTTTTTAACCATTAAAAGCCTGAAACACCTTTTAAAATATGTAATGAAAATAAGCTACAAATTTCATTAAAATTTTCAGATAAAAAATTTCAATATTCTAAACAATAAACATGCAAGATCAGATTAAATATAAAAATACTACATTGTGATTTTATTCATAATAAAATGATTGAACATTAATAAACACAGATAAAAGAATTTTCCTTTAAAGAGTTAAAAAACAAACATAGTGATTGTGCTTGGTCTAGTCTATGTTACATTTTATCAACAAGTAATTTGCTCTTATTACAGTTTTTTGGTAAGGATGGAATGCATGGTCTAAGATTTCTAAAATAAGAAATCTTCAAAATTTCTTAAAGCTATATTTAAAACTTAATGTTCATATTTGTACTTTAAATATTTTATTAAAAAGGAATTTGTTAATCATCTATTCCAGGAACTTTCCACTGTAACTGCCTTCCAATTTCATATAATTCTTTCAATGCTTCTTTGATTTTCCCAGACTGCTCCAATTCTACATACTTTTTGTACAGTTGAAGAGCTGTTTTTGCATCTTCAATAGAGTCATGAGTTTCAGACTGTATTTTGAGATCTGAGGGAAAACAAAATATTTGTAAGGCAACATATGAGTATATAAATGCATAAGAGAAAAACTCTTATTAATATTATGTGCTGTAAATTCAACAGGTATACTCTTTATATTACACTTATTCACAATTTGTCTCTTCTACCCCATGCTGTATAAATTACTTTCAAATTTAGATATGTAATGCAGTTTTTCATACTATATAGACTTTTAAATACCTTGCACTATTTTATAAAACTATCAGACCAAATTTTACAGTATCAGAATATCATTTTTAGTAATTACATTTAATAAATTAAGTAACGATTTTAAAAATATTTCAATTATTTTATAAAGAGAAGATTATTAAGATAAATTATTATATATTTGAATTTATGTTGAAAATTTTGAATTACTGCTAAGAATTGGTGTTAAAATAACTTGCAAAATAATTATTATTGGATCTAATCAAATTTGATTTGAAATAAACACCGAATAACAATTATTAGATTACTTAACAAGAATCAGCATAATACTTGTCCACATGAATATTCTTGTTGCTTTAATTCCTCCAATAATTACTGCTAAGAAATGTCCGGATAAACTTTGAAAACTCCCATCTTATAAAAAAATTAACTTATGTAACTTTAACTATTGGTGAATTAATACACCAATCAGTTAATGTGTATTTGCCCAACGGATGGATATGATTGTATATGGAGAAAATGGGGGGGGGGCTTTTAGTTTTGCCTAAAATAAGAAAATTAGAAATGTAATTATAATAATAAAACCAAAATTTCAATAATGGTATTGCAAATGACATTAAAGTGAAAGTTATTAATAATGATATAAAATTTTGAAGTTTATTATGATTATTCAAAACATGCAATGGGTGTATAAAATTCTTATATTTATGACATTGTGGAAAAAGTTTTGAAAAGCCTTCCTTGAACAAATATAATGAGGAAGATTCTAAACATAATTGTGACAAATTACTCTCTTGGGCTTCCTTTAAAAAAAAATTTATTATTGTACATCCTATTTTTAAATATTCTTTTTCAGCACTGAAAGAATAAAAAATTATAGAGTCTCTATAAATAAAATAAAAATGATTTGAGAATTTTACCTATAGAGAGTGATTTATTTAATAACGTGAATATGTGCAATATTATTAACCAATTATCAAAGAAAAAGCTGAAGAAAAAAATAAATACAGAAGTTGCTTTTGTTTTTGTTTATCTAGTTTTTGGCCAAACAAGTTTTTTAATTTATGAATTTTATGCTTTTATTTGGCATAATGGGAGTAAACTGACTTTTTATAGCTCTGAAAGTTTTATAAAACTTTGCCAGTCATTTTGCTTCTACTACTCCTCTTGTGTATTTTGTTATGAAGAAGGATGCATTACTGTTAGTAGCCCATAGGTGATGATGGGCTTACGTGGTCTTGACACTAGTTGCTCTCAGTTGAAAAAGAAGACAGTAAAACATTAAAAGGAATGATTTCTTTGATATTAAATAACTCAAATTGTACCACACTATGAATGTTCCAACCAAGTGCATAGGAGAAATTTGCTTCCATGTTTATTGGATTTGAAATTTTCTCACCGTTTCCCGGGTGGACATTGTTTTTTCATCACTAAATTCATTGTAGAAAACTCATTTCTTTTGGCATGCTATAATATTTTTTGTCTCCTGTAAGAAGCAAACTATATGTAGCGGATTTTGCAGTTTATTTGCATCACTCTCACTGTTTTCGACATGCTTATGCAACAGCATGCTGAAATTTCCAAATGGATTTCAGGTGTTCACTGAACTGTTGATTAAGATGTATTCATAGTTTCCCAAATTATTTTATGAAAATCTCTTTGCATAATCACCTGCAAAATTACTGAATGGAACTGAATGCCTAATTCTTATGCTACAATGAAATCTGTTGAACCATCACTGATACTCACGAACATCTAAATGATTTGAGAAATTGCAATGATATTCAGAATTGCAATAATTTCATCATAGCTACAATATGAAGGAATATATAATGCCTTATATGAGCATCCCTATCTTTACCATTATTCCGTTAAATGCTCTATTAAAAGCATTGAATGAAAGCACAATGCATATCTTTATTAAGCAAGAATATATGCTTGCAAAAATAACTTATGAGTGCCCTTCATATATTTTTATGAACATGACTAATTCAAAATTTTGTTCTTGACAATTGTTTAGGCTTTCTCGTACCTAATACAAGAATGTTAAAATATTTGAGAAATTTAATGGCTAGTCTTTTAATGGGATGATGACAAATAATACAAATTATCAGAAAATTTCTTATAAATATGTAAATACAATTAAAAAAATCCCTTTCCCCCCTTTTTATATTTTTTTAAAATATAATTTTGTGCTTTGGTAGGGGAACAAAAAAGATATAACAAATTTTAACATACTGTTATATCTTTTCCTAATCAAGACACATTTATGATGTGTTAAAGGAGAGAATATCTAAAAATTTGAATTAAAGTGAAGCAAATATTTTGATATTAAAAATATTGCAAAGATGTTATGTTTCCATGTACATAAAATGTTGCAGATCAAAGTTATTTCCCAAACAAACAAATGATTTTTCAAATTCAAATGCCTACTTTTAATTTTTAATACACTTAAAAATACTAGAAACTTATACACAGCAAAAAGCTTAATAGATATTTGATTACAATATCTTTTCTTTTACAATCATGTATTTTGCTCCTTTGATACAATTGTTATGGTATAAAAAGACGATTTCACTTTTAAATGCAGGGAAAAAAGAAGTATTACTTAGAAATATTTCATAACAAATTCATAACAAATTTATAAATTCATAACAAATGTTAATACAAACATTATAACACATATCTAGATATACGTCTAGAAAGATTTTTCTTCTAAAAAATTGAAGACAATGAATTTATATTGATCCAGAAGAAAAAGAAATTGTTTAGCTGGAAACACAAATTTTTGCTGCTTTTTCTCTGATGCAATTGACAAGACAGTATAAAATCTGCTATAAGGTCTGCTTTCTTATAAAACTTTAAAAGAAATTGTAAGACAAACGTTAGGGACTGCATATGTGCTAGAGCATTCCCCAGAAATGGCAAAAATGGATCTATGCTATATATTGCTCAGAAATGTTCCTTATGATTACCATCAAAACACTCTTCAGGCATTATGGAGAAACCAATTTCACCACTTTTAGATATAGCAATGATAGACTTTCAATGATTACTGCCAAAGTATATAGTGTATATTGTTGACTTAAAACTGAAAGAAAAGCCTTAGATAAGTATTAAAAAACTGGAAGGTAAAGAAAAGAATAGTGTGTTTTCCTAAGTAATTAAAAAAAAAAAAAAACTGTGCCGTAGAAACATTTATACAAACAAGCTGTGCCAGACATTCTAGTAGAGGTTCTGTTATATTTTATTATATCTTCATAAAGAATTTTTATATTTTAATCAAACACATACCTAGAAAATGCCATGCCAGAAACCTCAGGGAAACCATCCGCTTATTAGGCAATTGAAAAAGGTAAACAGTATCCAGAACTTGGGCAGGTGGTACCTTGAAAAAAAAAATCAGGAATTGCTTTTTAAATTTTAGTAATATTTGATGCTGCTAATGGAATTTAAAACGTTATGAATGCGTTAAATACTAATTTTAAAAATGTAATAATTTTCTTTAATATTAACAACAAACTTTAACTAATGTTTAAAAAACATTTGCTCAAAAATATATAACCAGACAGATTTACAGCATACATTAGATTATAGCAGTGGTTTTCAAACTGGTGATTCAAAGAACACATAAAAGTAAGATATACAAACAAAAAAGAATAAATACAAAGTAAAAAACAATTTAAAATCCAATCCAATTATGCGCTGATAGCAGCAACAAAGGATGGTAATAATGTAAAATAATGTAAAATTTAAAAAATAAATTTAAAATTAATAAATACTGTATTTAATTTGGAATAAACAACATGCAAATATAAAAAAAAAACAGAAGCACATGGGCAAACTTCAAGAAATTGGGAGGAGGGTGGCAAAACATGCTAAAACCAAAAATGAAAAATAATATTGACATCTCTTGTTGCATCTTCATCAGGGAATGGTGAAACAAAGGAAGTAAATAAATAAAATAGCTGTTTCTGAACTAACGAGAGTACAAATTAAAATTTAAATCCTAAAAAAAAAAAAAAAAAAAAAAAAAAAGTCAACATTATCTCTTTCTCTCTCTCTCTCTCTTTTTTTTTTTTTTTTTTTTTTTTTTTTTTTTTTTTTTATCAGTCCAACCCAAACAGGACAAAGTAAGGATTGCAAAAATCGCAACATCAGAAACATAGACAAATGCAAAATGATTGCAAATTTCACATCAAAAAGCAAAATTTTCCAATTAATGGAGTTAGTAAAGAAATGTGATGAAGTGGTAATACATGAAGATGATATAAGTTTTTCACACTGTGATGACAATGTTCCAATTACCAATTAACCAACAGACAGTGAAATCTGTAGTATAGTTCTAAATCCAGAAAATATTGTTACAGACAGTGAAGAAAATGATAGAGATGTCATTGAGAATGAAAAAAATTTGACCGACAATTGAGTGAGAATTCTTGATGTATCAATAACAGGATGAACAATGGAATGTTGTAACTGAACATGAACTTTTGTATGTTTATGGAATTAAAAAAAAAAAAAAAAAAAGAGAGAGAGAGAGAGAAAAGAAAAGAAAAGAAAAGAAAAAGAAAAAAGAAAAAAAAAAGAGAAAAAGGAAAAAAAGAAAAGAAACAAATTACACAATTTAAATTGAAAGAAATGTTTCATACAGCAAACAAATCATTAATGAGTTTTATTTTTTGGAAATTTTGATTGCCTTGAGATCATAAAATCTTCATTATTTCATCATTTAAATTTTATAATACATGTGGCACACTAGATTTAAACTGATGATCTAATAACCAGAAAAATCTCAAATCCAGAATCGCTGAAGTTCCTATGATTCCTAATCTCAGACTGTGTTTGTAATACAGTACATTTCATTTTCAAACATACTTCTTTAATCTCCCATTGCTGTTCCAAAAAGTCTTTATGAGTTAATTATTGAACATGGGGATGCAAAATTTTGTCTTTACCAACTTATTCTTTAACCCGCGGGAAGGCACGTGGTGTGCATCATACCCCAACCCTACATAAAAGTGGAATATTCCTAACTTGTGAAACTGAAATTCTGTGCTGCTTTCAGTAGCTGAGTTTCTAGTTGTGGTTGACTTTCAGAACTGCTTTTTCTTTGCCTGTGTGTTTCAGAAAAGATTTATCGGTATTTTGTTTGGGAACTGGGGTGTGACACAGAACCCACGCGCCTGTTGTGCGTGTTGTTTTTCTGACTGAATTTTTCAACACCATTTTTATTTCTAGAGTGGTATGTTGTAACAGTAAATATTTCTACTTGCAAGTGATTTTAAAGTACTTGACATTAAATTCTTAAAATTTCTCTGCATTGGTGAAAATGAAATGAGTCCCTGAACTGAAGACTGTTAAATTTCTTCGCGCCAATGCATCTGATGCAATTTTAAAATGTAGACATTCTTGAAAGATGAATGTGATTGCATTTCGGAAACTGAAGATGAAACTAAGAGGATGATGTTTATTACTTTCAACTTATTTAACTGGATTTTCGAAAAAGAAAAATTTATTACTATGTTGCCACTGAAAAAAAAAAAAGGAAAAAAAAAAAAAGGTTTTAATAATAAACTAAATTGATCAGGGATATGGATAAGGGATCAAAATGACGACTATTCAATTGCAGAGAAATAACGAAAGGGGCAGGACCAAAGTTATTTTCTTTAATGGCTAAGGAATGTTGTCGCCTAATAAATGCTTCCGTTATTTACTCTTACAACTGTTTCCAGAAAGACCCATAGGGAGAATTTTTCTTTAATGCACATTTTGCTGTATCATGCTTAATGTTATTTGCACTCTTCCATCAAAAGAATCTCTAGAAACTCCCTTTTTTCCAGAAGGACTTAGCATTTCAATTCTTGTTCAAAGAATATTCTTTTTTTCCTTTTGATTCAACCTACTATTTCCACGTTTCCCTGAATTGTCTCCTCGTTCAAAATTCGCTGCCCTTGAAGCATAAGTTTCGATTAATTAAAACGAATCTGAAATTCGACAACGTTATATTTTGTGTTCCTTTTTTTGCTCTATCCAACTTCCGCCACTTACTAGGTTCTGTTTAAAACATGAAAATATTTACCCCCCCTTTTTATGTTTAAATAAGCATGGTATATTTAGAGATGCAATGAAACTTAAGATGGTTTTTATTTTTTCATTTTTCTAATTTTTAACTCTTTTTCAGAAATTTTTTTTTTTGCCCAATATTATTCACTTATTTATAACACACGAGAACCCAAAAAAAAAAAAAAGAAAGAAAAAGTTTTAAAACTAATAATACTATTTTTATTGTATTTTAAATATTGGGGTATGTGATACCCCACGCGCCCACTCAAGTAACTTTTCTTGGTGCGACTTCCGCCGGGTTAAGAATTCAATTCTTAAATCATAATTACTTTGCCTAATTCTTTGGACGTATTTAAACATGAAATCCATTGAGCATGATTTAAAATAGTTAAATTTGTCAGCTTGAATTACACATTCAAATTGTCCTCAAAATTCCTGCTAGTTTTCACATTTGCTGTTAAATTAATATAGTTTTGACTTTGGCAATCAGGACATCAGAATTTAAATTTGGGCATTAGAATAATTAGTGTTTAGCCTTTCTATAGATATTCTAGGGAATTCACTCAATGTATTTGCATTCATAATCTTTTCATAGTATTCCTGACTAGTCAGAACATTATCTTTATTTCTAAATCATCTTTAATACTTTATATTTTAGAATCTAGCTTTAAGATCTGATTGGCTTTCCCTTCTGATTTTTTCCCCCCTAATCTTCCAAATTGTCACCATCAGTACTGTTCCCTTTTAAGAAGCATATTTTTTATTCACAATTTATTTAATAAGTTCAAATACATCAGGATCACATTTCTACAGTAGCAGCTGGATCATTTTAGATACTAATCCTTTATTGTCACAATAAATGAGTCAGGGGGGAAATTTTATATTCTTGACAATGCACAAACACACGTTAGCTACATTAACATACTCACTAAAAAAATACAGTTATGATATATTAGTGCCATCTATTCTAGGGATAAACGATCTGTTTGCACACATTCAAGTAACTTGTCTCTTGATGATTATGATAATGCTATATATATATATATATATATTGATATATATATTTTTTCTAATAGCGGGTACTTGTCTATGGCGGCATCGGCCACTACTAAGGCCAGATGTGGTGGTCTCTTTATTTTGGAGGCACCTAATAGGTGGGCCACCTTTGCCTCCTATGAAGGGACAGACAATTTTTACATTCATGCCTTCTCTGGGTTCACCTTTGGTATCGCACAGTCAGGCTCCCCTAACCACTATTCCATCTGGGTGGCTTACCAGGATATTGTCAACTGGATATATATTTTGGTATAAATGCTGCAATTCCCTTGTATGAATGTTCACATCTGTGAATAAAACACATTGGCAAACTCCAAGTTTCAATAAAGGTTCATGATGCCGCTGACATGGTACATCACTATTCAATATAACTGCTTAAATAAATTGATTGACATCACCTATATGGCCTTCACTATCTATTTTTTATGTTATATACTCTGACAATATGTTTTTATGCTAGTTGCTTTGCAATGACTCAGATTTCTTTGAGAAAAAAATATGGAAAAAAAAAAAATTGTGTTCTTGCCAGAGGAACATACACAGGGGATTCCTTACAACTCTATCACAATAGGTACCAGTTTTGTTGCATCATACTGAAGATCCCATGAAAAGCAAATATCCTGCATGTGTCCAATGCTATCAATGCATACCTTTCACATTGTCGTTTCTTCAGTGCATCATATGAAGTTTGAATCATCCACGACTTGTTTATTAGAAATTTTTTGCTTACCTTTGATGAAATAATGTGTGAACTCCAAGAATACGGCAACTGAGTTCCGGAATAATGCTTTCTATATGTATTTATTATTGCATTCAAATTGTTTCCTTTGTATTTTTTAAATGAATTTCATGCAAGCAAACTTAATATTAATTATGACTACGGTTTTTGAAATTTGACAAATATTCATATTACCTATTTTCAAATAAAAACTAGTGTGCTTTTACATGATGCACAAAAGTTGACTATTTAATTACGCAATCTGATTAAAATGTACAATATAATTTTATTGATGATCTGGATACAAATCAATTCAGAAGTAACCATAATTTCTTTTGTGTATTTGGAACACTATTAAAATTTACTAGAAATAAGCAGTAGCAATTTTATTTGAATACACTTGCTCTACTTGGATAAGAAAAATTTATTTCCAGTCTTGTAAATATGTAATATGATGCATTTTTACAACTTGAATTTCTTGCAAATATGCAATTTGATGTATTTCTACAACGTGAATTTCTACACTCTAAATTGATTCCTTGCTGCAGGCAGTGCACACTAAAGAAGTGTCAAACAAAAATCAACAAATCTGAAAATATAAAACTAAAAAAAGTCAGTAAACTTAAATTTTTTAAAGGAAGTGTAAGTAAAACTTTCTATAATCAATATATTTTCAAACTAGTTATCAATGAAAAATAAGAAATATGAGACAAAAAATATTTTCATCTATTGTTGTTTCAAGGATTTAATCTCCTAAGATGCTAGAAACACCTTAAAGGAAGTACTTAGTCACTTCTAAATTCCTATGACTTAAAAACAATAAAAAGTCATAAAAGCTCTAAAGAAATATAAAATATGAATATAGGGGATGATACTTACTTCTAAATTCCTCTGACGTAAAAAATATAAAATATGAGCATAAGGGATGTTATGGAATTTATCATTAGTGATTTCGTGCATCAAACTAAAAAAGTGAGCCTAATTACATTTGTTGTTGCAGGAAGATGCAGCAATAAATGCTGATAAATTTCTCCAATTCATTACAAGTTATACATCAAACTAAGATTAAATATTTCCAATCAATCCCAGTATACCTGTTTTGAATAATTTTTCTTCACAGGTTAAATGTCTTTTTTGTTTGAATTTATGAAGCTAATATACTCTTAATAAGATGCAACACAGATCTGGTTGAAATGACAGAAAGCAACAGTGAATTAAAACTACAGACAAAAAATTGGCATTTTACTTTATAGCCAGAAGCAAAATAATAACCATCCAAATGAGTCACAGAAAATTTATCCGCATTTAAAACAGATTTACATAAAAACTACAGTTTTTGTTTCGCGAGGCAAAAACAAATTTATAAGGGATTTTCTTGCATGAAAATGCTCACAGTAAACTCAACGTTCTTTAAAAAAAGCAACAGAAAATGACTTCTGAAACATCTTCATCATGTTAGATTAGGAAAAGCTAAACCAGATAATGGATTTTTATTGCCCCTTACCACAAATCAATTACTGTGAAGTTTTAATTACAACGAAAAATGTAAATAATCAAATTTAGTATCTTCCTAAAGGGAGATTTTACATCAGACTATACTTCTGACTGAAATAAAAAAAAGAAAATTTGAAGGACATTTACACAAATTAGCTTCTGGTGAGAACATTCAGAAATTCAATGAACATGTCAAGAGAAGAAACATCATAAACCACTGAATTTTTTAAAATTCAGGCTTAATTCCGACATGTACTATGCATATTAATTGAATGTTCAAACAAACATTTTTCTGTCTAACTAAATACATATGTATTATTTCTAATGTACATAATTCATAATTCCTTTTAATTTCTTAGTAATCTTTTCAAATACATATATTATATCATTTGAAAATATAAAATTTCTTTGAATGTTTTTAGACCAATAATTTTAGTAAAATTTAGATCAAATCAATAATACAGTTACAATTTTCAGCAATAAAAATAATGCATCTAAGATATTTCTAACATTATTGTTAATAGATAAACAGTAAAATATAAAATAAATTAAAACATTTCAAACAGACTATACTGCACTAAAACAATCAAGCAATTAATTTATATGATTAATTAGTTACATTCTGTAAATTGTGAGTATAATGAATTTTTTCTTTTTACATCAAGATATTTTTTTTTTAAATTTCAAACTAGTATAAAAACTTTTATATGTTATGCTGGCATACACACTAGGATATTATAGTTGCATATATTTATATATACATTTATGCATCATCTCACCTCATCCAAGATCTCCGCCTGCAAGAATCTTAAATTTTATATAATATTTAGGTTGAAATTATTTTCATTTTTATAGTTTTATTACTTTAAGTTATTAAAATGTCAAAATAATTCAATAATAATAAATGTGATACACAACATCAAACCCTACCTTAGTCTTTTAGAAACAACTGCAACAAAAACTTTCAAATGCAATCCAGAATAAAACATCAAAGTGCTAATAATGGAAAATAATTAATACTAAGCAATTTTTAATCAGTTAAAGTATATTCTTATATTCAATCATTTTTACAGCATTATTTGTATCTAGTACAATAGTCTGCATGCTTTTCTACAAAGGGCTAATGCCTTAAATTTACCTGAAGTTTCTTGCTAGAAAAACTTACACCACGATTCTGCCACAGATCTGAATAGATAGAATTTTATCTTCCATATGTGAAACATGTTTCTTACATTAGAAATAATACATCTGTATTTCCAAATTTCACAATTATTGAATAAAATTTAACACAGATTTTACTTACCACTAAGTTAATAACTCGAAAATCATTTTTTAAACCATGTCCAACAAAAGTAACACCAGTGTCAATCAAGAAACGTAATTTTTGATAAGTTGCTTTCAAGGTTGTTAAATGCTTTGATGAAATGGAAGCATCTAAATCACCAGGTTGAATGCCAGAAAACTTAGTCAGGTAATCAACTACCTAGAGTAGCAATTAATAAAAACTAAACAAATGATCTGAAACAATAATTACATATAGAAATTTAAATTTTCACAACAAAACACATAAAATTACTTTTTAAATTAAAAACAAAAACATAGGCTAAAAATTTAATACCTTACTATTTTAGTATTTTTGATATTATAAACAAGCAGTTTCACAACCAATAATTTATTTGCAAACATTAAATATCAGTTTCATTTCATATTTAAGATGATTTAAGTAATTATGATACAACTGAAAGCAACTTTAATAAAATTTATAGGAAAAAAATTAACAAATTCTCCACCTAGACTAAATGTTACACTTATAACTTTGTATTCTTCTATTTGTAGAGGCTTTAGATTTTTTTCCCAAACTGGAAACATGAAAAATTAGCTATGCACTTGCCAGATTTGAACCACTGATCTTCAATTTGTTAGCTGGATGTTGATTTGTTAGCTTATAAATAATATAATGAGATAATAATATGAGAACATGATAATTACCTATATAGTTAATTTAAATAAATACATAATATGCATGCCTGAAATAATCTCTCATCTGCAAAAAGTTTTGAAAATTCTTTTTCTCATCAATCATAAATGATGTATTGTCTTAAAATACAAATAATTATACACAGACTACACTGTGTAAAATCTCAAAAAAATTTAACAAGGTTTTATGTATTTAACTACATGAAAACACTTAAGAACCAATTTGTACCAGCTTAGATTATGTAATAATAACTTGCTGTACAAATAAAAAAACTTTCAGTTTAACTAAAACATCAGATAGAGTTAATTAGACTTGGAGAAATTTAAATTGCAGAAAAGTTTATAATTTTCCCCCCTTTTCTAATTTTTTTTTTTTTCTTTGCAAGCTTAATTTAAAAAACATGGTGTAAATTACTAAAATTAAAACAGACAACTGCTAAAAAATTTAAATACTTTATTGCATCATCCCAAAATATTACATCCATTTTAATAATTTTATCACACTAGCCTTAATTTAACAATAAAGATTTGGACCAAAACAACAAAATAGTTAAATCTCTAAGCAATATAGTAACAATATATCACATATCTCTTTTGAGATTCTTTTCTCCTGAAGTTATTAAATGGCACACGATATTTGACAAAAACACTTCAAACAAGGTGAAAATATAACTGCAGCAGAAACAAGGAATACAGAAGAAAACAGGAACAGATGCTCATTCAACAATTGCTATTCATTAGGAAGACTGCTATTCATTGAGGGTAAAAATGCTGTAACAGGAAAAACCAAAGATAGGAAAATTTCAGAATCAATTAAAAGAAAAGGTACATTAATTAAATTAGCACTATTCTTTTAATTATAAAAGAAAGTTACATATAGGTTATAAAAGAATTTTATACATAAGGTACAGAATCAAAAGTATAATTTTGAAATAAAATGAAGACATAAGTGTGATAACTTGAATGTACATAACAGTCACTACAAATTAATAACCTGTGTAAATAAAATAACAGTTTATAAAGCAGTAAAAGATCTAAAGTTTTCTACATATATTTAGAAATATGAACACATTTCTTTGGCTTTCCATAACTAAAAAAAGCTCAGAACACTATTCTTTAAAAATTGCAGAATGTCCACTATTAATTTAATGAAAATCAGATATTCAAAATGCATTGTTATCAGCTAAAGAATATAACAAGATTTCATTATAATCTACAAGAGCAGTTTTTTAACAGAATTACTCAATGTTTTTATAAAATGCACATTTGGTATGCATTTTAGAGCATGAAAACATTATAAAAAAATTTGAGGGACTGTATACATTAATTCTGATTTCAATCTTTAAAAATACAGGATAAAAAAGTGATCTTTCTTAAAATGCCCTAAGAAAAATAATACATGCAAAATATATATTATCTTAGATCTAGTAATAATTAGTTGCAAACTATACAAAAATTATACTAAGAAACAATAATGCATATTTTTTCTATTTAATAAAAAGGCAGTATTTGAGGAAATTAATGGAATTAATAGATGAATTTAGAAATAAGGAAGAGCATATTTAAAAAATCTTTCTTAGCTGAAAATGCACTTGTGCAGACTAAATTTAATTAAATTAAAATTTCAATTACATTATACACACTTGCATATATTCTTCCACAAGAAAATTAATTATTATTATTATCACTTTTTTTTTAAGAAAGTTCACAACTTTTCAGGCACATTAACAAAGCTACATACTAGCATGCTGATAATAGCTTATTAATAACTAAATATTTAAAAAAGGGAAGAACTACACATGGACACTATCTTTTAAAAATAAAAGATAGTTAAAGAGCTATACAACACAAATGTTCTCTTTGTTTAGAAGAACTGCCACCACTTTTAACTTATTTCTTTAAACTGTTCCCTTGACGAATTATTTGAATATAAATTGGGAAAATTCTGCTAAATAATTTATACCAATTCAGCGTTCTCCATATCATCATCCAAATGGAACCAATATCTTTTCACAAACAGTTCAAAGGAAAAAAAGATTTAAAAAGAGACAGAAAGAGAAAATACAAATTATATAAACTACACGTAAATGTCTCCTAATTACAGCTGTCTAACTTTTCCTCAATGATTCCACAAAGATAAGAGCATATATATTCATAAGAAGAACTTCTTGACAGAACTCGCATATTATTTCAGTAACATTTGGAGGTTAAATATGGGGGAAAAAAATCAGGCATGAATAATCTTCACTATAAGACTAGAATTTCCCATTTAGATATGTCCAATTTCTATGTCATGAGCATGGCAATATAAAAATGTGCATTCTCATGCGATAGCTCATGCATATTCCTACAATAAAATTGCACATCCTACACATGAAGTGTATCATTATCATGATGAAGACCATGACTAATACTTAGTTTTGCAAGTTTACCAAAACTAAGTCTCGACCATGGCCTTTACATCAACCGAACACGAAAATGGCATGAAATGGATTTTTTTATTAGTACTTATACTTGATGTCTTTCTCAAGTGACACTATAAAACTCTTAAAAAATGTATGCTATACAATCATTACTGGAGCAGGAAATTATTATGAAGAACACAGTTACTGGAGAAGGAAATCTCAAATTATCAACACTCTTGGCAGAAACTGAATCCATTTTTAAACTGTTAGCTTAATGTACTGATCATAATGTTACAAAAGTACATGGGGTGAATACCTTTAATTAGATGCAAGATTGGTGCATCTCCAGTTACAATGTTTATCTGCCCTGAAATATAGCAATATGCTCGACTGACTTCATAAATCAAGTAAACCTATCATTGATTAAAATCATGTGCTGTACATCAAACTGCATGCTTAATAAGATGAAAGGATTTAGTTTACTTAACAACTCAAAAGTTTTAAAATACTGCAGTTAAAAAAATTTATAGGTTTTTATTTTTTTTAATCTGATGCACAAATACTATTAATGAATACTTTTTATTCCATTTATCATATGAAAATTATAGATAAACCAGCTAATTTTTTATACTATTAATCCTTGTCTTATCTCAAATGCAAATAAATATGTCTGATCTTAAATGCAAATAATATATAGTTTGCCAGCTACTGTTATGAATCATAGATACATTTTGGAAAAATATTTTTACACTGTCAAAGATAAAGATGTTCTTGCTGAAGAAAAATATTTTGGTTAAGTAAATGAATATTCACCTTCAAATAAATGATAACTTTAGAATTATAAATTCATTAGTTTATACTATTCAGGATCAGAGACTTTTTTTAATAAAGCTCTCTATTAACTTTGAATGCAGCAATGTTGATTTTTTCAAGTTAATGGTATGATTTTGAAGAGCAAATAAAAATAGTTTCAAACCTGAATATCGCTCCAATGAGTATTTGACTGTATTTTATAATTTGACAAAAATGACAAGTTTAATTGTCAATGACATGCACATATATTCCTGGTGGAATAAATGGTCAATGCTATGAAAATCATTAAATATTAAATGGTTCCTCATAGCATTTAGTATGCAATATATTTTAACCAAGTGACTGATAAAACATTATGAAACAACTTTGTTATTAATAATCTGAATGTTTCAAGAAATGAGATAAACTACAATACAGCCTCTATCATCTTTATACAAAATACAAATTGACTAATTAAATATTTTCGGCTCTACTGTCTTACACAGAACAAAATTAAAGCAGTCTAATAATAATAAACTAAGATTATAATTTTTTAATTTATATATAATTATATTACTTTAAGACAATTTAAAGTAATAAAAAAAAAAGTGCTTAGCATAAAATATGATTAATCATTTCTTAATAAAAAGAAATAAATTTAGCTATAAACAAAATGAAATTATATAAAACTAGTTAGCTACAAAGTTACATATATAGATGAAATTTGTAGTATAGATAAATAAGTGATAATTTTCCTCTTTAGTTTTTTCTGCACTTGCAGTTAGCATGATTTTTTTAAAGCTTTTACCCTTCTGAAAACAAATAGCATACACAAATATCAATTTTATTCCTGTACTTTATATAGGCAAACATTATAAGTATATACAGCACAAAGTCTTTAATCCGGACTTGTCGAGACTTGGCGATTCCGGTTAGGGGTTTTTCCCGATTATAGATCATCAATTTAAATCTGGTAAGATGGCATGCAGAAATCATAAAATTAAAAATATGAAACCATAATTTATGAAATAAAGAGCAATTATGATCTAAAGGGTATCAAAATTTACAAAAAAAAAGCTTCATATTTTTTTGTTTACTTTATTAAACATTTCTTTCAATGTAAGTTGTTTAAGTTGCTTCGTTTTATGTGATAATACCTTCTCTTTAATTCTAAAAACAGACATAATTTCTTGTTCAGTTACAAAGTTCTGCTGTCCTTCAAGTCCTGTAATTGCTGTGCCGAGAATACCGACTAACTTGTCAATCGAAATTTTTTCATTTTCACTAACCTCTCTGTCACTTTCTTCATGCCTTTATCCATGTCAAAGAACATGCTTTTGCTTTGTAGATTCTTTGGTAGCTCCAAAATCAGAAATTCTTTTTGACATAATCGAAAGTTCAAGCTTACGTTTATAAAATTGCTCTAACAGTCTGCAAAAAATAATAAGCCGGATCCAATTAGAAGATTAAGGAACAACACAATCTGAAACATTAACTGAAATAGGCAATTAGATAATTTTAGCCTAGCTAAATTACCATCCATTATATATTAAACGTGCATGCGTAAACGTTTTATTCACATGCGTAAACATGCATGAGCAGAAAGTTTGTAGCTTTATGGTCTGGATTATAGATCATTGCGGATTATGGACGTCCGGATTAAAGACTTTGTACTGTACTGTATACATATACAAACACACACACACAGAGGAAGTACGAAAGTTAGCAAGTAGGAAAAATATTGTCTCGTAAGGACAAAGATAAACATAAACAACAAACAGCAACTGATATTACTATATTATCTTATATAAGTGATTTTCTTTTTCACTTTATTATAATGCACTTTCTTAAATTAAGAACTAAATTGTTCCTTTATAAGTCTTATATGATCTGTCTTGACTTATGCATTAGAGACTTGGGCATTGACTTTACATGATGAGGAAGTTCTGGGAACTTTTGAGCAAAAGACTTTACGTTGCATTCTTGGTCGGGGGTCCAAGTGAATGGATCATGCAGAAGATCTAATTTAAAACTTTATAAAATTTACAAACAACCTGATATTGTAAGATTCGTCAAATTACAGAGACTTAAATGGCTGGCCATCTGGCTAGAATGAATGAAGAATTTTGCTGCAAGAAAATTTTTCTGGCAAAACCCATGGGAAATAGATCTTGGCGCAGACCCTCAATAAGATGCATTGATTGTGTCAAAAAAGACCTTAATATTTCAAAGGTTAAAAACTGGGAAACAATTGCCAGAAGTAGAGATGCCTGGAAAGGCCAGGGCCCACCCAGGTCTGTTGAGCCATTGAAGAAGAAAAAATAATGCACTAAAATTTTTAAATTCCTTGATTAGTTTTTTTTTAATAGCAGTACAGCTATTTTAAAAACAAATCCAGCTGATTCTTAAGTAATATGGCCAGTTCCATTTGTCAATAAATATAATTTTTTTAAGCATGTGGAAATTTAAAAAATTTACAAATAAATTATACAGCCTAAAAATAATACAAGTTTTTTTTTTTTTTTTTTTATTTACTTTTTAAATACCATAGATTATACTGTATTAGTCAATTAATGATGAATAAAATTAAGGTATTTACTAAAATGCAGTTCATTTTCCAAATGGCTATCTAGCGTCTGGTTGTTTGTTTAGTTGACTATGGCATGCCAGATTAGTCTGCTTTAAAATGTAGATGACTTTCTAATGGAAAAAAGCACACATTCATATTATCTCTTGAGAAAAATGTGACCACTTAATGTTAATAATCCATTCACTATGAACCAAACCCAGAATGAAATACCACTATTTAGCATACCACCTTGTCCAACTTTTTTAAAGGAAATTTGTCCATATTTATACAGTCAAAAGTCGTTAATTCGGACACCCATAATCCGGACCTCAAAGCTACAAACTTTCTGCGCATGCGTCGCGTTCACGCATGCGCACAGGCGTTTACGAGTGCGTGTAAGACCTTTACAGCTGCGAATATGTGTGCGCGCATGCACATTTAATGTGTAACAGACGGTATAAGCTAAGTTAAAATTATCTAATTCAGTTAATGTTGAAGATTGCGTTGTTCCTTAATCTTCGACTTGGATCGAATAATCGACTTGGATCGACTTGGATAACAATATCCAATAATGACGGATATTTGGATAAGAATGGCACAAACTTAATAGGGTTACTGATGCACAAGCTTAATCAATTTTAATAAAGAGATAGCATGTCGCTCAAAAAATAAAATAATTTTTCCATTTTAAATTTGTCTTACTGACACAATACTTTCCTTTTAATTTGTCTGGCAATTCTTTGATAATACCAGATTACTTCTGCTTAATTTCTTGGAAAATCCAGTAAATGTGTAAAAACTGACATAAGATAAACAAACATTGTTCCAAGAATTTTCTGTGGGGAAAAGGTTACCAAAACAAAATAGTCACAGTATAGATATATTTCCATTATAACTGGTCTGAATTTGATGGTGGGGGAAGGAAGAAGAAGTTATTCATACCTTAGGCAAAATGGAGGGAAAATAAATAATGATCTTATCTTTCCAAAAGAACCTGGAATAGCTTCTAGAGTTGCCAAATACTTGAAAACATCTGGGTCAGAGATTTTATTTTTGGCAACATATTGGCTAATAAACAACTTCCTCAAATTATGTTTTATTTCTTTAAAATACGTCTTTAATTTTAAAAGTTGTTTTTAAATTCAACTTTTTTTTTTTCATCTCCTTACATTCATTTCTAAAATTTCTGCAACATACTGCATAATGAGTTACAGGCTTAAGAGCTTATGGGGCAATATAACGAAAGTTCTTAGCAACCATATCTTTGTACAGTAAATTTATTACTAAATTAGTGAATGCACAGATTCGCACAGACGATCCAAAAAATGGTCGTACAAAATTGTATTTAAAGTCCTGAGATAATTCAAAATGAGCTCTTGAGCTGTTTTAAATAAATCACAAGTACTGTTTAAAGCAGTATTTAATTCAAATAATAAAATTTAAATAGATTTTCATTTGCCCTTTTGGAAAATGTTTCTTCTATACCTTTCCCGAGATTATACTGATATGCTTTCACACAACATAGTAAACAGGATATAAAATTATCAAATATGTTGTTATCAAATATGAACTCAGTTTATTTCATCCATTTGTAAATTTTTTCTTATTTTAAAAAAATGTCAGTAACATCCAGTTAATAATATTCATTATAATAATATCATAGCACAGCAGGAGTTATTTGCTTTAGGAGGGATGCCTTTTATGGAAGACTTTCTAAGACAAAAAGGCAAATACTTATATTACTAGCGGGAAAAAACAAGGAAATTACAGCAAATAAAATTGAAATAAAGTGCAATTCTAGAAATCTGTATCTGAAAATTTTCTTTTACGTAACTGTACTTATTGCAAAACAAAAAAATGCAAAAGAAATCATTCCGAGCATTTATTCTCCTCTCCATGTTCACAAATTGTTATGAATATCTTCATTAATGGATCAATTTATACTCAGCACAATATTATGAACAAACAAGAGCAAATCTTTTCTTAAAATTAATAAAAATATTGAAATAAAAGAATTACACAATGCAAATGCAATTATTTCCTTTTCAATCCAAAATCATTCTCCCTTTCCCCCCCCCTATATGCACATTATAAAAGTATAAAAGAAATTTCTAACTGTGCAAATGCAGTACTATAACAAATAACCGAAAATAGCATTTTAATAAAATTCTAAAACTTTGCTGATATATCCTATACAAAAGCATACCCCTTTAATTAAATGACTAACTTAGCATATATCTTATTTCAACTCTAGAGATAAATACTCTTTTAGAGCAAAAAAAAAAAAAAAAAAAAAAAAAAAAAAACTATAAATTTTGAGGTAAATGACATTTTGAAACTTAGAGTTAAATTTATTCAAAAATATCTTTTCTCAATAACAATGCATCAAATTAGCTCAAAAGGGGAGGAAAAAAATTTACGAAAAACCGGCTTTCTTCCTCCCCCATCATATGATTTTTTTTATAAATTATGTACAAGATATATACAAAAAAATTATCAGAAGAAGATTCATCATAGATTATATAGATTAGGTTGAACAGGTTGCTCAAGATAGCAATGAAGAAAGCAGAGATTAAAATTTATCCTACTTCAGAAAATGATCATTTGCAATCAAGCATACTAGTTACCACCACCACCACCACCACCACAAGCTACTCTCTATTTAAGGAGGATGAAAACTTCTATCTTCATTTGTCAACATATTTCAGGAAAATTTTTACGACATCATAGTAAAAAAAAGAAATTACTGAATAAGAGAATTTTTTTTCAACAGCATCAGCACCTTATCTATCTGCTTCAGTACCTCACAATTCTAGTGAGAGGTATTTAATTTTACTTTAAAACTGCACAGAGTGAAACCATTTCAATCACAGACACTTTTTCTTAAGGGGGAGATTTCTCAAAGAAGGTACCTTACATCAAAATGAAGACAGCTAAGAACTAAATAAAAATCATTATACGCATAGTACAGATGGAAAAAAGTATTAATGACGTCTGGATCAATACATAAAAGGAGAATAAATTACATTATTAGAAACTAAATACTTTTTCTAATCATTCAGAATGATTACAGGCAGATTCATAATCGAATGATAAAATGAAAATCCTGCCAATATTCCACCATTTAACAAAATGCAAGCACTCTTATTTCTGTCCTCAGTTCTTGTTTTATAATACGAAATGGATTTTCACATCAAAAATTTAAATTCATCATAAGAAAGGAATTCATGGTTTTCTGTGTTACTGCAAATATTTTCAAAAATGCTTTGATTAAAAACTAAATTTTAGAAGAAAATTCTGTTTCATAGTTTTTAATGATGTATCCAAAAGAAAAATCACCTGCTCTTGAGTGGATATATAGTCATCTATAAATGGAACACCTTCCAGTGGGCCATCCCTAAAAAAGAATGAATAAACTTTTTTTAAATAAACACTTTTTACCCCATGGTAAATGAATGTATTAAGTGCAAAAAAGTTGGGAGGAGCCAAAAGTTTAAATTATAAACAGCTTGTTAAAATATTAACCATAAAATAAAATTTCTCTTTATATTTATATGAAATTATATTCATATTTACATAAGTATCTTTAATCACTGTACACTCTTAGCTTCTTTTGAGCCTCAAATATTTTGATAAGCATTAAAATCAGTAAAAATAATGAAAAGTTTTCAGAAGAAATTCTTTAAAAAAAAGAAGGGGGGGATATCTGCAAATACTTAACCAGGAAATACAGAAAAACAGGTGGGATTAAAAAGATAATACAATTAAAAATTAGTTAATGAAAAAACAATGAAATAAAAAGGAAAATTTTACATATATACAACAATTATCTCTCTCTCTATGTACGTATATATATATATATATATATATTTGAGGATCACTCTGAGTTTTTGAGATCCAAATAAGTTTCTTAAGTTATATTTACAAAATTTTATGAGCTTTTAAAATAGTCTCCTCCAGCATCCATACACTTCTGTAGGTAAATTTCCCAAAGAGTAAATGGCTCAAGCCATTCATTTTTTTGGAACCAATGAAAAAAAATGCATTTATCACCTCATCAATCTCATCTTTGGAATGAAAACAACGTCTACATAAGTTCTTTTATCGATTAAAAAAAGAGTCAAAAGTTATACATAGCCAGATAGGGTGAATAGGGTGGATGTTCATTGATAGGGGTCATCAAACACATTGATGTGTTTTTGTTCAAGAAACTCAACTGGCAATCTTGCTGAATGAGAAGATACACTGTCATGGTGGAGCATGAGTCCTCTAACATTCACTTCTTGAAGAATTTCTGGAAGACACTTAGTGGCAGTATGAATATATGTTTAGACACTTGGTGTACCAGTTAGCTGTGACTGTTTTCTGTTCTTCCAGCTTGATGCCTTTGACCAGTCACAGTCCTATACTTATGAAGAAAATTGCATACATTACTTTTTTAAGACATGACACGTTGTATTTTCACCATTCTGGGCGTGGGATTATCTTCAAAGATCCATCTTTTTTTTTTTTCCCTCAACATGTTAGAACATCAAAAATAGTATGTACGTTTTATCACCAGTTATCATTTTATAAATAATGTAGTGGCCACCATCTTTAAGTAATTTAAGAGTTTCTTCACAGATTCCGACATGCTCCTCTTTTTAGTGCTAAGTTAAACTATCGGGTACCCAAAGGCAAACTAGTTTTTTTCATATGCATTTCTTCATGAACAATTTTATATATGGCAGTGGAACCAATGTTAAGTTCCTTCTTTATCATTTGGTAGATGCAGCGATTATCATAGATAAATATTTTCCATATAGCAGACACATTATCTGGGATTACTGCTGACAATAACCTTCCTGTGTGTTCTTCACCCTGAAGAGAGTTGCAATCTCTGTGAAATTCTATATACCAATAGCACAAGATGGATTTTCATTTGCAATAGCACAAGATGGATTTTCATTTCCCAATGCTAGTTGTAGACATTTAAATTTTTGGAAAAAACTAATGAATATGGCATTGCAAAGCACCACCTTTTTGTTGATTTTACGACTGCCTATGATTCCGTAAACAGAAAATATTTAATTGAAGCTATGAGAGAATTTGCAATACCTGGAAAACTTATAAATTTGGTCACCATCACTCTTGAGGCAAAACATAAGGTTAAAATCTAGAATAATCTCTCTGAGCCTATTGTTGTTTTAAATGGGCTCAGACAGGGTGATGCACTGGCCTTCTTGCTTTAACTTTGCCCTACAAAAAATCATAAAAAGACTCCAACATTAATATTCATGGAACCATCTTTAACAAGTCTGCTCAGATTTTTGTGTTTGCTGAAAATATTGACATAGCCGCATGCACTCCTGAGTCACTTAGAGAGGCTTTTACATCGCTAGAGGCTGCAGCCAGCAAAATGCATCTAGCAGTCAACCAAAATACAACTAAATACATGCCATGAGGTAATAACAGCAGCCCCTATTTTGAAATTAGGAATTACAAATTTGAAAGTGTTAGTAAATTTAAATATTTAGGATCAGAAGTTAATACGCTCAATGATTTAATGCTTGAGATACGTAGTAGAGTCACAGATGCTAACCGATGTTTTTTCGGTCTCAAAAAATACTTGTAGTCTAACTTCACTATCAGAAAAACAAAGATTTTAATTTACAAAAGCTTAATTAGACCCATTTTTACATATTCTGCTGAGACCTGGACAATGACAGAAAAAGCTGAAAGTATCATTTCTATCTTTGAAAGAAAAATTTTGAGAAGTATTTTTTGTGGCATAAAATGTAACAATATTTGGAGAAGAACTAACTCTGAACTCTATAAATCCTTTAAAGAAACAGATACAGTAAAATATATAAGGATTCAGAGAATTAAATGGGCAGGAAACCTGTGCAGAATGGATGAAAATCGAGTAACTAAAAAGATCTTCTCGGCCAGAACATTCGGCACCCGAAAAAGAGGGAGACCTAAACTTTGGTGGCTCGACTGTTTGGAAACAGACTTAAGAATTTTTTAAACAACCAATTGCATGTCCATGGCCAGAGATAGAAGAGCTTGGAATTCGATTCTGAGAAAGGCAAGGGCCCATCCTGAGCTGTCTGGCCATTAAAGAAGTTGGTTGTAGACATTGAATGCATTCTTCTTGATTTATTCCCATTTTAATTCTTGATTTATTCCCATTCCATTCCCTATCCACATTAAAGGTACTGCTTTCATGTTTTTTTTCTAACTTTATTAAGAACATTTTCTTGGCAAAAAAATTTAATTACAATCAGATACATACATAAATTACAATACAAAAGCGATTTCAAATTCAGGAGCTTAAGAGATAAAATTTATTTTCAGACAAAAAGGTATTTTCATATTTTAATTTTTGCCAGTTATTTGTAAAATGTATTTTCATTTTCCCTTTTCTAAAATTTCTTGAATTAGAACAATAATATTTTAGAATTTTAGCTATTTTATATAAATTTGAAACTTTGGTTTTATAGATTGCATTTTGCCTTTAACTTTTTATTTGGTTTCATGTTTCTTTTTTTGCTGGTGATTGCCACCATATTATGTTTCCCTATTTTGGACTTGCTTATTGGCTATTTTCTTCCTTAAATCTATATTGAAATTTAGCTTCTGGAAAGTTCGCTGCCTTTTTAATTTCTTCTACTGTTTACTTTTTTATCTATTTTATTTCCACATTTGTAATTTTTCCTTTCCTGTAATTTTGGTTTCTCTAATTGTTTTTTCTTAATAACTTGATAGTGTTTAAGTGTTTTGAAGATATAGTCAATCATAAATTTCAAAAATCATGAAAGAAATGGAAAATTTTACCAAACCACCCACCTACTTTCAAAAGATGTAATGCAACTTAGGCAACAAACTAATATGATTTTCTCTTTAAGAAAATCAAGTTGCCCCCTTGTTAATTTTTTAAAAACTAAATACTAAGCTATTGAAATATTTTTATATGAAATTTGTTATTGTAAAAGTTGGCATTGAAATATTTTTTACAAAAATTTATAAGAATAAAAACAAAAGGCTGTGATGAGTGATATAGTAACATTCATATATGTCTCAGAAAATGTTTTCTCATATACACAGTTATTTAAATATCAGAAACGAAAGCAACATTAATATATTTGAAAGCAAGTTTACATGCACGATAAATAAATTAAAATTTTGCTTACCCCCTCACACAAGATATTCTTGCTACAGAGAGTTGTGATGGCCTTATAGTTGATCTTGTGCCATCACTTCGAATTTCAGCTTCTTCCTATAAGAAAAAATTACCACTATGAGTAAAATAATTGTATCAAAACTAGACAAAAAGATAATTAGTAGTTACTAGCTGCATAACAACACAGCTTTTTTACATCACTGCTTCTAATTCTCTTAATACACAGGGGGGAAAAAAATCCAATGTGGCCAGCACATGACTTCCTGCCAATTTCATATTTAAGAATTGGAATTGGCAGAATAGCAAATTAAAATATAATTTGCTTATAAACTTTACAGCTTAATGTTAATTATAAACACTACTCATTTTTTACTACTCTGTTCTCCCATACAATGGACAATGATAACTGTATCTAAGCATGTACACACTTGTTTTCCATGCTTTGTTTTGAAAATATTGCATCGACTGTAGTACATCCTCTAAACATCTAGTGTTTCAGATTTGTAAATCAACCATTTAACAATCACAAAATTCTTAAAAGCCTAATGTCTTTAATCATCATATCATATTATACACAGTGATAACATTTGGTGGCAGCATCCTTTTATTTGAAAAACGATTTGACACAAAAATGAAGCAAACACAAAATTGAGAATTGAAGCTAATACACTTAATTGCTTCATACGATAGCTTGTTTTCATAATGAGCTTATTTCTCATTGCATTTAGCATAATTCAAGAATACATTTAATGCTTTTAAATGTAATATATTGTTCTTAATCACACATCTACTTTAAAACCAAATTTGAGAAATTTTGGATTATCTTATAACTTTTTTTTTACAAAGTCTGCTCAGAGCTTCAAGTAAAGTATCATTTCTGGTTTATTAATTTTAGCCCAAATCTAATATGTTGTTCTCATTGAATAAAAGTCTTAAGTACTAAAATCAAAAAGTTTTGGATTATATTTTAATACAGTTTTCATTAAAAACTATTAGAGACTTCAAATAAAATAGCTCTTTAGGTTTACCAGTTTTACTAAGAATCTAATCAGCTGTTTATATGAATGTATAAATCTTAAATACATAAAACTGAGCTTTTGGAAGTTTGATATAAAAGTTATTATGCATGAAAAATCATCACACGCATACAGACACGCAACATAATAGCAAAAATATGTCACAAGGACCTCAATTCTAGTTTATTCATTGAAAACGCATTATGAAATTCTTGTACTGAAAAACAAATTGAGGTTGAACTTCCAATGTTCAGCATCTTTACCACTCAGCCACCGGTTATACTGAGAGTGATTAATATACACCTAACATTGAATAATCCATGAAGAAGAAGCAAGAACGACTATCTCATTAACTTATCAATGATTATTTACAGTAAAATTTTAGTTTTGGCAATTAATTCTTTGAAATTTTAACGATACATGGGCTTGTTAAAATTTCAAAACAAAATATTAAAAAAATAAATTCTATAAACCATAGCTTTTGTTTTTGCCCTTACTTATATTAAAACATTAAAAAACAGAACTGTTATTTAATTTACTAGAAACATGTTAATACACAATAAAGCTAATGTATTTCAGTGACTGCTGTATGTAAAAATATGGTAGGCTCATGATGAAACATTAGCAAAACACTATTAAAAGGCTGCTATTCCAACTTATGTTAGGAACTGTGTCAAACATTTTTTGAGTTAAGGAGTTAGCAGCAGCAGCAACATAAATGACCTCATTTGATTCTTTTAACACTTGTTACAAATTAACTTTTTTGAAGTTAGTCTTTAACATTTTGAAGAAGTCTTTAACATTTTTTGAAAACTAAATGAAAATTACGTCTTCTTATAGTCAGCTTTTAAAAGTTTAAAACTTAAAAGCAATTAAATTATAAACAGAACATGGTCATTTACATAATTTTTTAAACTTATTATTGAAAACACTCAATGCATCCTCCAATTTTTTATTTTTTAATATGAAAAATATTTTTTATTTTGCAATCAACTAAAATCATCTGTAGGAAACAGATGATAATGATAAATTGTGACAATGTTTGAAAATGTGCCTCTTTACTATAACATAACAAACATTCAAAATGTGATCTTCTCTTGTTAAGAAGAACTAGGTATGCATAACCAATTTTACATTATAAACATTACTGACATTTCCAAAAAAATTCACATTTTGCTATTTTTGAAAATAACTATTTATAATGCTGATAACTAATAAGACATGAGCTGGAAATTTAATAGTGACAACACTGCTTTACATGTGACATGAAACAGGAACACAGCTTTTTAGTTCAATATCTAACCTACTCCACAATAAATAAATTCTCTTTTTCAATGCTGTGTTCATGTGCAATAATGCGAAAAGTAGAATCTCACATGAGCTGGTGGTCTAAAATTATATAGGCAAGACTATGATTTGATTCATAAGATGAAGGAACCACTTCTTGGCATTTATTTCTGAACTGTTCTGTAAAATTTTCTGGCAACAGACAACTCCATTCAAACCATCAACAGAGCAAGCACTGCTACAGGTGAACCAAGATATTTCCACAATGTTGGCACTGGGTATCTACATGAATGAAATTAAAACTTTCTCAGATGTATTTCTTTTGTGTCAGTTGTAAATAAATAGTCGATACTATTAAAGTTTCAACCCACATATTATGAAACCATGTATTCAGTGAGTTTAGAAGGCATATACAAGACTCATTTTATAAAAGCAGAAAACATATAAGAATATTTTTGTATAAAAATTCATTCTTTAAAATTAAAAAATACAGAAAATTTTAAGACAGTTGGAAAACTGATATAAATTTTATGCAGAATGATATGGATTAATAGCAGAATTTTAATAACTGCATCACAGCCTGTGAAATTTACTGTTATGATACTAATTTATTTCTACCAACTGAAAGAAAAAACTGATGAATTAATTTTCCAAATTATTTTAGAACTTTTTCAAAAGCTGTGAAAGAAAGTCATAAAAATGGCAAAATAGTTTATTTAATATCATAGACTAATACAAACATATACATTAAGAAAATAATAAGACTTCATGAAAATGATGACAATTTAAATGTTATCAATGACATAAGAGCAGTGATAACAAAGATATTATCTGTCATGCCCAAAATAACAGATTCAATAAATGCACTTTAATTAAAAGAACACCTTAAACAGATAATTGAAGAAAAATATAATTAAAATTAATAAACAATTTAATCAAAAAATTAATATGCTGAATGCAAATAATATTTTCAACATATTAAAGAAACATTTTGTAACTTTAACATATATGACAAACATTTAGTTTATAATGACTTGCTAACAATTAAATACATTAGTATTTGTTCACAAAGGTACATTTTCTTTTTTAAGCTAACTTTGTACCTAAATCTGTTCAAGATTAATAATATAACATTAGATAGTTTATGCATTATAGACAATTTAATATAAAACACAAGTTAAAAATTACATAAAATATTTTTTATTTAAATTTGATACAAATCATTTATAAATGTTTTGTAATGATATTTTTACACAAAATGTTTTTTAGTTTATTTTACACGAAATAAAAATATATATAAGTGATTTTTTTTACAAATGTTTTGTAATGTTGATATTTTTATACATATATTTTGCAATATTGATTTTTTATACATATATTTTGTAATACTGAAAAGGTTTACCTGATTTAACGTTACAAATTCAGCATCCATGGCTACAAGCTGGCCAGCTGGTTCAGAATCATCATCAAAAGTGAGAGGTGTAAAAGTCATATGGGTTTGCCCACTTCTTGCTGCCAGAGATACATCTTCTCTGAAAACTTGCTTTTCTACAGGATTGAATACTAGAAAAAACACGAACACATTTTTTTAATGCAAAGAAGCTCTAAAAGAAAGCAAATATACACAATATATGTCACAACTGTATTGTATATGAAGCACTGGTTGCTAACATAATTACCATTAGTTCAATTTAAATTATTTTTGCACCATACTAAATCTGAACTTTACTGAATAATACATATAAATGAAATGGCTATAGCTTCTTTCCTTTTGTCCCCTCTTCAGTTAAATTACGGATATTTAATGTGTAGTTCAGTTGCATTTGCATTTGCATTGTATATGAATGTAGCAAACTTCTTTAAAATAAACATTGTAGTGTCTAGTGTTTTAAATTCTTTTTATTTGTTATTTCATTTTACAGCTTCTTTGGATTTCATAGAAACTAACCACTCTGAATTCTTTCTAAGAGCAGCTGGAATTTTTCAGATCATATAAAGTAAGTCCACTCCCAGAAAGACAATGAAGAATCTGTGTTGCTTTCTTTCTGCTTGATTGAAATCATCCATAGTTTTTAAACAATAATTTTAATACCAACAGCTAGCCAATTTTCCTTATCAATGAATTACATTAATAATTTTAGAGCAATGAGACAAACAAACTGTGTCTAAATTTGAAACTGCCATAATTTTTAAGAATCATATAAAGTACTTAATTTTGATTGAACAAAATATTTTTAAAATTTGTTGTGAGAAAAAGAGATACAATAATGAATAGGGAGCAGGAAAGGTGTGCAATTTATTAGGAAAAAATTAAAGACACTATTGGAATTATTTAAGTTTCTAAAAATATGCTGATGATTTAACCAAAGACTGGGTTGTAAGCAAATCATTTCAAATGGTTTATACCAATGAAGATACAGAAAAAAATCAATTGTATATATCACTAAGAGCTTCAACTACTGCATTTACTGAACAATCATAGGTTTATTTTTAAGGCTCGAAAACAAGAGATTATGAGATATCATCCAATTGGAGACAAAATCTGGCATTGCTGGTGCTTTAAAAAATATTAATCAAAAGTTTTCCTAGAAAAATTAAAAGTAAGTCACATCCATTTTTAAAGAATCATCGAGATGCCTTCAAAGATCATTCATTATTATGCTGAAAAGAGTAGGGCCAGACATGGAGCTTGGAGAACTACCTTTTTCCAGAGATTAAACCTTACTTTTGGATACAAGCAGAAGCTCAAACAACTGTTTAACACTTTGTTTTCCATATTGCAAAATACTACTAAGGTGAAGAAAGGCATCTTCAGTAGACTTCCAAGGAGTAAACCTGAACTAAGAATCGCCATAAAAATGTATCGATCTCAAATACAAATTTATTTATTAATGAAGAGAGTTTCAAGAAATTTTCCCAAAGTAGGTAATGCATCTAATATTGCCAAAATAAGGAGTTTTTGCATCTGAAGTTTTAGGGATCAAAACAACCTAAGCTCTATTCCATTGTGTTGGAAAGACGCCTAATGATAAACAAGGTTGAAAAGTCTGTGCAAAAAGTGTTATCTAGGGCATTAAAGTGTTGTACAATGTCATATAAAAGAGAGTCTGTTCCAGGTGATTTGTTCTTCTTGAGACTTTTAATAATGCTGTTAACCTCTGAAGTAAAAAACTGACAGTCAATAAACGAAATATATAGCTCCTCTGACTCAGTACACATAGCTCTATGAGAATTTTTACCATCAAACAGGTAATTATCACTTGGAAAACTGTCATAATTCAGGAAACAGTATCCCTCAATGACAAATTCTCTACAAAGTAACTCTACCATCTGGGAATTTAATCTCTGAAAACTGTTTTCTTTGCAAAATTGGTTTTGACCTCATACTTGTATATTTTTTCAAGACATTGTGAAAATTAATAGTTGAGAGAAAATTTTTTCATGGGTTAAGCTCGGTTTTTGTTAATTTAGCCCTATAATTAACTCAAACTATTTAATTTTATATATATCTTTGAGAATACAGTTTCTTTAACAATAATTTTACTTCCTCCAGACTACCAAGGTGTACTATTCTGAATACTTATTCATCAGAATTGATATTAAAAATAGAAAGACTATTTACAGCATTTTCTAATACAATCAATTATAATTTAAGATATTTTGCTCCTTTACTTTCTTTAATAATGGGAATATCATCTTAATGAATTAAAATATATGAAAAAACTAAACCAAATATTTATACAAATTTAGCTAAATGTTCTTTAAATACATGTATTCAGGAGCATATCTAAAAAACTGTGTCACTTAGAGGGTTAAACAATTTTATTTCATCAATTACTGTCTTACAATTCAAGCATAATAAGCATAAGCTACTTCTAGCACAATTTAAGTTGGCCCTCAATTTTAATTGCTCTTTTCCTATCTTCACTGTGCTTCTAAATTTTCTAACTTCAATTGATCTGCAGTAAATTCCTTTTTCAAGAAAATGCAATGGTTTCTTGAGTGAGAGGTGCTAAAGTGCAAGCAACAAATGAAAGATCATCTGACACATATTCTTCAAGAAAAGTACGTCAATCTTACATAAGACTTTTGTTCTGTCTATGTTAATTCTCGAAGCACCATGACCGGGTTTATCCAGTGATGAGATTTTTTGTCACTTGTTATATATTAGCTTATAATTTAAAATATTTTATGTTCTTACTTTCATTAATAATATAAATGACATCTTGATGAATATCAGTTTATGAAAATAGAGACTAAAATACGTAAATATACATATTTAGCTAATAAAGGCTCTTTAAATACAGGTCTTCATGACAGATCCAAAAACCCAAGCCACCCAGAGCATTACATCGATTCCTAATAATTACTGATGAGTATGCTGCAAAATTAGAATCTATAAAATGGTGGATATATAGAACTTCATACAATAGGTCTGAACCAATTGTATATAGGTCAAGAGTAATTTTATAATCTCTAAATTTTATGAGTAATAATATTTGCAGGCATATGTCCATTATATATTTGTATCAGTTTTCATTGTAAACAATAATTCAAGCAGAATGCTTTATTTATTACAGGTTTACTCAGAAAATCAAAAATCTTATTTCTTTATCATTTACTTGATAACAACACAAAGGTTGCACACACATTTATTCTCATAAGACAGGTACTTCTTAAAATACCTAAAATTTAAAATTAAAATAAACACCTTTACATGTAAATAAATCAGCAACTGTAATCAAGAAACACAGGACATTCATTAAACTTCTATTACTAATTACAGAAAAACTCCTAGGTAAATGCTATGTGATTTAAAATATTGGGCCATTCAGAAAGTTCTTTGGTTTTAAATAAAAATGAGGCAATAGAAAAACATAAAATTTCATTAAATTATAGAAGCACCCTTTTGTTCCATGATTTTTTGCCATCTCTTCAGCAACTAGAAAATTCATTTTTAAAAAATGTCATTAGGTTTATTTGTGATTGAATTGCTATTTGATAGTTTTCAAAGAACTGAATTCCAAGCCATTCAAAGAATTCCGAAATGCCCTAGGGAATGAAAATCCAAGGGAGCAAAATCTTGCTGAATACATAGTGTGACACAAAACATCCCACCCATACTCAATATTGCAATAATACTCAATATTATGATACTCTCTGCATGCTCAATATGCCTATTCAGTATGTATTTGCATACTCAATATGGCGGCTTTGGCCAACATTCAACAAAGCGAGGGGACTGAGCATTGTTATAATGGAAGACAACACTTTGATGATTAATCAGTTTTGTGCACTTTGCTTTGATTTCTGCTTTTAAAACTGCCATTTGGGAACAGTATCTTTCCAAATTTATAGTCTAATTTGCTAGCAGTCATTCCTTAGTAGTCCTACCATACACAAAGTGTTACTTTTTTGGGATGCATTTGCCTCTCAGTATTATTATTAAAGGAGGTTCATTTGGTTTACTGCACAATCTTTTTCTTGTAACTTTATTGCATGGAATCTACTTCTTATTCTCAGTAATGAGCCATTTGAAAAAAGGGGCACCTTTATTTGGTTTTAGCAAAGAATCACATGCCGAAACTATAGCAAGCATAGTTTGCTCTGTTAAAGCATGGGGTACCTATACATTGCAGTAGTTTACATACCAATCTTCTTCAAATGTTCATGAATTGTACTTTTCAGAATAGTTAGTCTATCTGATAGTTCCTGAACTGCATAATGTGAATTTTTAGAGACAGCTTCTTTTAACTTAGTTCCTTGCTTAAAAAGAATGAATCCAGAATGGGGATGATCTTTGAGGCTGAAATTTCCATGCTTAAACTTCTCAAAAAACTTTCAAACTAACTGCGACATCAGAAACAGGACTTTGCCTACATACAGCACAAAGTCTACAAGCAGTCTGACTAGCATTTTTTCCTTAAAGGAAAAAAAAAAAAAAAGAACAATATGACAGAAATGAGTTTTGGCACTCTTTATTCTTAGCATTGAAGCTACAACATATGCTAGACTTTTGCAACATGAGCATAAAAAAATCATATTTACACATCTGATTCAATCAAAGTTACTTCTTATCGGCACTCACAAAATACACTCATGGACCAAAAAATTAGCACACCAAGAAGGAGTCGTCAAAATGAAACGAAATTTTACATACATAATGACTACTTTGATATAAGTAAATGATAAGAAAAAGGATAATTTATTTCAGAGAAAAAGACAAAAGAATGAAGGAGTTAATACTCCGTTGGACCCCCTTTGCATGATGCAATACGATCGGGCATTGAGTCATACAAGTTATGTATGATGTCTTGAGACATTTCGTTCCATATTTCTATAACCTTGCCTCTAGTTCGTTCAAACTCATGAGATGCCTAACTTGTCGTCCCAAATGATCCCAGATATGCTCGACTGGAGACAAATCTGGGGATCGGGCAGGCCAAGGAAGGGTAGGAACAGTGCGGAGACAGTCTTGTGACACCCTTGCCGTATGAGGCCGAGCATTCTCTTGTTGAAAAATGGCTCCTGGGAGCCGTTGCATGAGTGGCAACACATGTGGTTGCAGGATTTCATGAATATCCACTGGGCTGTTATGGTGCCACGGAACAATACTAGGGGTGACTCTGTATTGTAGGCAATGGCACCCCATACCATCACACCAGCTGTGGGAGCGATGTGCAGCAAAGGCAGGATTGAGGCGTTCACCACGGGCTCTCCACACATGAACACGATTGTCATCACTGCTGAGATTGAATCTGAATTCTTTGCTAAAGACGACCTGGTTCCATTCCGCTGCAGTCCAGTTTCCTCGTGCTCGACACCACTCCAAATGGAGGCGTCGATGGGTGGGCATCAAAGGGCAGCACACGTAATAGGCGCCGCGAAACCAACTTTCCTTCAGCCAGGCACCTTCGTATGGTTCGACAAGGCACAGAGGCCCCTTGTGAAGGTGCTACCTGTGCCTGGATGGTGGCCGATGAAGCAGTTGGTTGTACGCATGCATTTCTAACGAGGTGGCGGTCTTCTCGACGACTGGTCTGTCGAGGACATCCTGAGCCTGGTCTTTGGGTACATGACATCTCTCGGGTCCACTGCTCCCAACACCTCCTGACAACAAAATCAGAGCGGCCTAATTGACGAGTTACTCGCCTAGCTGACTACCCAGCTTTCATCATTCCGATGATTCTCCCCCCTCTCAAACTGCGATAACTGCTCATATTGTCTTCGAACACAGCGTAATGGCCTGTCTACCTCAGCTTTTCCTTTGTAAATGATTCAGCACACTCAAACAAGCTTTGGTTACCTGTTTTATACTCCACAGAGTACGACATTCAACGCCCTCTACCGGCTATACGTAATGCACAATCACGCTGCATTTATAATCTTTTGCATATCTCCCCAACATGTACCTTCATTGCAAGTTTCGTTAAGATCCCGTAATTATTTCTTGGTGCGCTAATTTTTTTGTCCATGAGTGTAGTTAGGAAAAAAAATATGTTTCAGTTTGAGAAGTAACTTTTCAGATGACCCAATATAAACAGTAAAATATAATTTAAATATTTTGCATCAAATATAGAATAAGCAAAAATTTTTGTACCTTGTAAATTATGTTTGCTATTCAAATCTATCCTTGAAAAATAAAGGACACATGGTATTTTCCAGTCAAAATTTAGATAAACAGCTTCTTGCTAAAATGAAATTAATTGAATACTTTTAAAATATAACCAATCTATCTTAATTAAGACACAATAACACGCCGAATAAATACTGATTCAGAACTCAAACAACAAAAATCAGCGTTAATTCACAAAATTTTCACAGGACTAGTTTCGATGGTTTTACCGAACCATCATCTTCAGCTGCAAAACCGCAAATGAACAAGATAGGAAATAATGTTTAGATAAGATAAGAAAGCCTGGACAAGAATAAGCAAGTGGCGCCATCTGGTAAGCAATCTGGTAAGAATAAGCAAGTGGCGCCATGGTGTCACTAAACTCTTAAACGAAGGACCATATAATCCGATCCCTAAAGATCCTTCACCTTCGGACTTATCCAAAATAAAAACTGCGATCAAATCTTCGCAAATCATTTCAAGCAACGTAAAACATTCGCTTATCCCATCTGTTGCGAATTGTGCCAGATTATATGCTCTTCCCAAAATTCATAAAAGTGGTATTCCTTTCCGCCCTACTGTATCAAATTTAGGTACTGCCTCGTATCCATTAGCTAAATATTTAGTTTCTAGATTTTCCACTCTATTAGACAATAACATTTACACCATAAAAAATTCAATAGAGTTTGTAAAAAAGGTTAAAAACATTTCTCCTCGTAATTTACTCATGGTTTCTTTTGATGTAAAATCATTATTCACCAATGTCCCAGTGGAGGGTGCATTAAGATGTCTAGAAACCAGACTTCGCGAATTTCATTTCTCTTGCATCGAAATTGATGAGCTAATTTCTCTCACTCAACTCTGTTTGAAACAAACACATTTTGTTTTCCAAAATAAATATTACAAGCAAACTGAGGGATTAGCCATGGGAAGCCCCCTCAGTCCCATCCTGGCTGATATCTACATGCATTATTATGAATCAAAATTGTTTGAAACTTTAAACTTCCCGGCATGGTTCCGCTACGTAGACGATACTTTTACCCTGTTTGAAGGTAATAAAGATGATTTAAATAAAGTTCTTTCAACAATGAATTCTATTGATCCTGCTATTCAGTTCACTTTTGAACTTGAGACTTGCAATTCTCTTCCGTTTCTCGACATTCTGGTCACACGTAACACATCCAACTTCAGTACTACAGTTTACCGTAAACCTTCATCGGTTTGCCTTCCACCACACTTTAAATCATGTCATCCGACTAAACAAAAGTTAGCTTCATTTTATTCCTATGTTTTCCGTGCTCTTCAAGTTTGCTCCTCCAAACTAGCCCTTGATGAAGAACTAAATTATTTAAAAGCAATAGCTATTGACAAGGGCTTTTCACCCAACATTATTAATCAAGCAGTTAAAAAATTCTCATCTCAACACACTAAAAGCCACACTCTTATTTTAGGAGATTATAAAAATTCTGTTGTCATTCCCTTCTTTCCATCAATTAGCTATAAAGTTGCACATATTTTGCAGAAATTTAACTTTCGGGTTGTTTATTCTCCCATCAATAAAATTCCAACTTCTATACTCAAGGACCCCATTCCGGATATGAATTCCTGGGGTATTTATAGGATTCCTTGCCAGTGTGGTTTAATTTACATTGGCCAAACTAAGAGAGCCTTAAAAACAAAGAACATGAGGCATATGTTAGAAGAAAGGAAACACAGAAGTCTTCTGTTGCTCAACATTGTTGGTCCGAAAATCACATTTTCAATTTTTCTGCTGCCAAAATTATTCAAAAAACATCTTCCATTGGAGAACTGGATTTTCTAGAGGCATTTCACATTCATAAAAAATCTTTCTGTTCTAGTTAACGATCCTAATTCCAATCCAAATTTGCCTTCGGCTTTTAGAGAAATTATGTTTTAGTTCTGGTTTCGCCAACAGATGGCGCCACTTGCTTATTCTTGTCCAGGCTTTCTTATCTTATCTAAACATTATTTCCTATCTTGTTCATTTGCGGTTTTGCAGCTGAAGATGATGGTTCGGTAAAACCATCGAAACTAGTCCTGTGAAAATTTTGTGAATTAACGCTGATTTTTGTTGTTTGACTTCTGAATCAGTACAATCTATCTTATTTAAAGAAAACAATAAACAATACATATAAATGAAATACAGTAAAAGTAACATAGGTTTGATTTTATTTCATAAAAAATACAGAGTTACTTAAGTATGCAATAATAAAGTGTCTTCTGAAGATCACAATGAAATTTTAGAGCTCACCAGAAAAAGCTTAATCAATGAGTAATAATGGAAGAAAATGAAAGTAAAAAATCACGACAAGCTGTTTTTGAATGAGAATAACCAGTTTATATTTTTTGCACTAAACATTAATATATTTTTAGAATTTTTTTTCTTCCAAGAGCAAGTAAATCTGTTTTTTTCTTTAAAAATTGACACATCAGCCTGAATGTGATAAACACATATGAATAAAAACAATTAATATCTGAATAATTGCTCATAGAAAACACCACAAATATTATTTATGACATAAAAGAAGAATTAGTTATATGAAAACAGTAATGTGTTTTAAAAAGTAAAGCACTGTTGTCTTCATAAAATTTATTGAAACATATCAAACAGCAATAGTAGACTCAAATATTAAAAAGATAAAAAAGCATTTATCACTTTCCCTTTTTTTTAAAGCACTATTTCAGAAATACAGATATCTCTTTGGTTAATCATTATGTCATCCATATTCTCAGAATCACACCTTTTCCAGGCCCTCCTTTTTTAAAATTAAATTTTAATGGAAGAAATGTACAGCAATATAAAATGCAAAGTTAAGATGAGAGGGAGGCACAAATTTTATATAAAATTCTATGGCAGACCACACAAAGATAAAAAATTCATGTATGTGGTCCCTCACATGTCCCAGTCTTGGAGCTGTTATGAGGTGCAAGTCACTGTGCTTTGACACTGCAAGAGCAATAACTTGTTCAGTAACACTGTTTGAAATAAACCATCTTTATCTCCAACATGAGACAATGACTATAAAAAATTCTTAAGATATGCTTTTTTTTTTTTAAGTATTTTGTAATTTGGCTGCTGAATCAAATTTTATGTGGCATAAGTGCTAAGAATATGGTATTTAATGAATAAAGACAAAAAATTTTAATAATAAAAACACACAAAAAAATTTATAAAGCCATCTTAGTAAACTGATAAAAGACTTCCCCCCCCCAAAAAAAAAAGAATGCATGCCAACACTTAACGCTGCATAAGGAATTCTAAACATATACTGTTATGCTGCCTTTAAAATTCTTGTAATTTCACTGTTGAATTGTATATGGCATATACACAAAGATAATATTGCTTAATAATAAAGCTAAAAAGACAAAAAGGGTGGATGGGTTAGTAAGATTGTAAAAGCAGACTTGTAGACTGTGAGGTCAGCGAGAACATAAACTTTAACAAACCCTTTTGGTTAACCATTAAAATCTTAAACCTTTCAGATATTTTATTTATTTTTGGTTCTTTTATTATGGCATGTCACAAAATCATATTCACCAAAGGGAAGGTTGCTCCATGGACTTTTTAAGGGAAACTGGCTCATATCCACATGATACATAGAGAAAACCACAAAAAACGTCTATGCAGCCAGCACACTTCCTGGGTTTCAAACCACAAACTACCAGTGTTTAGTTATTTTACTGCTATGATGCTGGTGGGCTAATAATTTTGTTTTAATTAACTGCAACTTTTAAAATAATATAAGCAATGCAATCAACTGGCAAAGACTAATATTTTGAAAGAATAGCAACATATTACACATCTAAGTATAAATAAAAGTTCAAAACTACAAATCAGACAAACACGAATTTTAAATATAAGAATGAGAAATCAGCCTAAAGTTTTCAAATAAATGGCTGAACAATCTCTAGTTCTATGTTCAATTATTATCAGACATTTTCTAAAAAAATTAAAATGTTATATATACTTACAGCAGTAATAGGTACAATGCTGAAATCATTAAATAAATACCACTGGTAAGCTGAGCAACCTTTATGTCGAATATGTGGCGTTGGACCAACCTTAATGCAACTAACTATATTATCCCTGCCATTATCCTGAGTGTCAGATATGACTGATACAACTGCAGTCAAATCATAAGTTACAACTTCTGCATCTTCTTCTTCAGAATTAGAAGCACTGTTCTAAAATAACAACAACAAAAAAAAAAAAAAAAAAAAATTCAACTCTACTTTACTAAGTACATTATTATCATTCATTTTAAAGACATCTAATTCAAACTGATAACATATTAATAGGAGTAACTTTGCATGCATATTTTCAGTAACATTTTATATTCACAAGAAATGTTATGCAGCATAAACTGCTTTTATTACTCGTACATATATCTTTAAGAATCTTTTAATCTTTTTAAACAGTTAATAAATCTTAACTAGTAACTAATAAAATTTCTTCTGCAGAATAAGGCAAATAAATTTTTACAACAGTTTAGCACACTATATATGCATATGAAATACCAGCTATGTTTAAATACATTTGTACATGCATATATACCCCCAATAATACAATTAATAAGAAACTAAATATACATTAATAGAAAATTCTATATTGCTGGAACAAAAGTAAAAGGATCATAATAGTAGCACTGATTTAATACATACATATATGAGATATAAAAATATGATGAAAGATTTATTACCAAATTAAACTTAATAATAACAGCCCTTTAGATTCTTAAATTTAATTGCACACATCATCTCCTAGATTTCATATTGCACCATGTTACATCATGCTTCCCTGCAGTAACTGCAACACGAAATCTTTTGACCCATAGCTGCTATGCAAAATTTTTCCGAGCTTATAAATAGTACCACAACTAACTATGCATGCTCTTTCACAACTTCCCTTCATGCTGGCAACATGTCATTTACCCTCTCTTTTATGTAAGGTGTAACTGCATATCTAAATTTGTAGGGTGTGTTTAGCACCCCTGAGAAATAAATGACGTTTAACTACCAAGCTGACCGTGCATCTTCTGAAATTCCATCCGGTCATCCACTATACCACAATTTCCAGTCAATTATGAAGTAGTTTTTTTTTTTTTTTTTTTTTTTTGTTGTGATTAAAAAGTTAACTAGACCCTTTCCTAATCAAGCTGTCATCTGATATCAAGGTATTTATGACAAAATAAATCATTACACACACACACGCACATATATACACCGAACAGCATTACATTATGACGAGCCAACATCTATAACAATGGGCTCGCCTAGGAACAAAACCACTGCACAAGCATGGCTGATGTTGGAATATATAAAAGGGCTTGCATTGTCTTTCCAAACATAGTGTGATTAGCAACCTAATGGAAAAAGCAGCAGAGTTATCAGACTTCGATAAAGGTCAAATCGTTATGGCTTGGCGAATGGGAACATCAATAACAGAACAGCGTATTTAGTGGGCTGTTCACGAGCAGTTGCTGTGAGCACATTATCGAAAAGTGGTGTATGGCTAATGAAAAGACAAGTCATCGGCCAACAGTGTGTCGTCGACAGCGCACTGAATTCCAGAGAAGAGAGGAGATTGTTATGCATTGCTCACAATGACCAAAGATCTACTATATCCGAAATCACTACCAGCGACAACAGTGGCAACCCAGACAATGTTTCACAACCCACTGTGCAGTATACATTGCTGTGTATGGAGCTACGTGGGTGGAGAATGAAGCACATCCCTGCACTGACAGCACATCATCACAAGCTGCATCTGCAATGGGGCCAAGAAACATCAGAATTGGACATTAGCAGAATGGAAAAATTTGCATAGTCCGACGAATCACATTTTCTGGTCCATCACATTGACTCACGCGTGCTAATATGTTGATTTCCAAATGAAACCCTGGCATCCAGATGCACAGTTGAACGGAGACAAGCTGGTGGCAGAGGTATTATGGTGTAGGTAATTTTTTCATGGAACATATTAGGACCCATAATCCCCAAAGAACAATCCCTGACGTCTATATGCTACATGAATGTCATTGCAGACAAGGTTCACCCATTTATGAAAACAGCGTTTCCAGCGGGAAATAGAGTTTACCAACAGGATAATGCACCATGTCATACGGGTCGAATCACCAGGGAATGGTTTGAGGAACATTCCAGTTACTTTGAAGTCATGTCTTGGCTTCAAAATTCACCTAACATTAATCCAATAGAGCATTTATGGTCCCACCTGAAAAATCAAATTTGTGCTGCCACGCTACCCCTTTGCAATGTGCGGTAATTGCAGGACCAGTTGGTGAGCACTTGGTACCAGATATCTTAGACAATGTATCAGCACATTGTGGAGTCAATGCCATGCCGGGTGCTGGAAAGTTTTGAGGTGGTCCTACATGTTATTAACAGGGTAATCATAATGTAATGACTCTTCGGTTGTATACACAAAGGATGTTTCATATTGAGTGAAACAAAAAGAATAGCGTAGTCTTAATTCTGTACTTATTAAGTACTTATTCTTCTTATTTTTATTCTGTACTGTAACTTATTAAGCCAAAACAAATGAATTCAGAAACTAAAATTATACAAATTTTAGCTTGCAACAGCAAAAAATCTTCCGGTTATAGAATTCTAGAGGCACTGTTAATCGAAATGGCACTATCAACACTGGAGAAAGTGGCTGTGGTTTTGAATAGGCCAAAAAACTATCGTTTATCATCACTCAAAGACATTTTTGTATGAAATTTGGTAAAGAACCAGGGCATGTCAGAACATCAAATGGTGGATGAAGTAGTTTCAGGACATGTGCTGCTTGTGTAAGAAAAACAATCCTGGATGAACAGCAGCCAAAACTGAAGTGGTTGAAAAAACTTGTGAAACATTTTTAAGTCCCACAAAATCAAAGCATCATGTGAGATCTGAACTCACTGTGCCTCATGTTGTAAGGATCTTAAGTTTTACTAACGTTTATTTTATTTTAAATCTTTACTATCACTTCTTATTTTCTACTTCTGGCCAGAATTATAAGCGTGAAGGTTTTTATGCAAAGTTTGTCTGGCGAACGCCAAGTATTTAAGTGTGGCCTTTTTGCCAAGCGAAAGACAGGAAGCAGTGAGTTCGAAGCAGGCCGCTTACCTTAGAAGTTACGCAGTTGCTGTTTGCCTTCCAGGCCAGAGGTTTTAATCCTCTTGATAAATTAAACGTACTGTAGTGTTCACAGTCTCTGTGCTACATACGCTTCCTGTTATTACAAGGCCAATCTTCCACGTGTATTATTCTAAAGTTAAATTAGAGTTTAGTTTTATTTTTATACTTTTTCGTTAGACCCCGAGTGGCGGGTCGTTGTATTCCGAAGTACGGAAGTTATTGTATATAGAGAAAAATAAAAAGTTTTGTATACCCTTCGTCTGTATCCTGTCTACTTACCACAATTAGTGAACATAGCTTTAGTAAGCTCTCTGTTCCGAGTCAGGTCCTTGTATGTTCCCGAAGAAGGTTAGAAGGAACATTGATCCTGATAATGTAAGTCATGTCAGTGTGGCATGTGTTACAGAAGCATCTACAGTTCCAGCCATATACTTTCAAATGGTGCAGGAATTAAAATCTTTCGATAAAACTGTTGCATAAAGCTTTCTGCGAGAATCTGCAAGATAAACTAAAGCAGATGGTTTTGCAAACAGACTTGTGTTTAGGGATGAAGCCACTTTTCACATTTCTGGCAAAGTTAATCGCAATAATTTATGATTTGGGAGCATGGAAAATTCATATTTTGTAATGGAACACGAGCATGATTCTCCAAAGATGAATGTTTTCTGCACCATTTACAACAGTTGTGTTTTAGGTTCTTTTTATCTTTTTACCACTATCAAATGCAATTTAACAATGTTTTTTCATGACATCTGTATGTAAGGACAGAATAAAATACTCTTTTCCACCCAAAAAATTATAAAACTGATTTAAAATGAATTCTAAAGAGAATTCTTCATGGCGTCTGTATGTACGTATCTCGCATAAATCAAAAACGAGTAGCCTCAGAACGTTCAAATTTTGTATATAGGACTGCAATAACATGTAGATGTGCACCTCGTATTTTGGTTGCAATCGGCCGCACCAAACGTATATAAATATATTTATATATATATCCACTCTGTTACCCGGCTCAGTGATCTCAGTTTCTTTACTCTTATAAGTTTGCAAGTTGCGCATTTTTTGCATTAAAAATGATTGAATTATGTTGATCTTATCTTCTGGTTAAGTTTTTTATGCCTTTAGTAAATCTGAATGCAATATTTGCTGAGTTATCAACAATTTAAAAGTTGTTTAAGTGCAGCTAAGCCTAATTAATTCTGCTATGGCGGACATGTTTGTTTACATTTCAAATTTGGAAAAATAGCGGATTTGTTGCCAATCTAGAGAAATTAAGCTTCGCAACAACAAAGATAACATTTTCTTTTATTATAGCGAATTAAATCATGTTTAATCCATTCTGGAATTTATTCGAGGAAATAAGTGTTTAAAATTTAGTTCGTAATTTTTAATATAGATATTTTGATTTTTTATGTATTTTTTCCTTGTCGGGAAGTGAGAACTGAATTAATTGAATGAGAAATACTGAATTGTCTGTACACACACACACACACATATATATATATATATATGCAGTACAAAATCCATAATCCGGACGTCCATTATCCAAAATGATTTATAATCTGGACCTCAAAGCCACAAACGTTTTTTTTTTTTTTGTGTATGCTTTATGCATGTGCATAATGCATTTACGCATGCGTGCTTAATGTATAATGGACGGTATAAGCTAGGCTAAAATTATCTTTACTGAGTCTAAGGCATTTCAGTTAATTTTGCAGATTACGCTGATCCTTAATCTTCTAATTGGATCCGGCTTATTATTTTTTGAAGACTGTTAGAGCAATCTTATAAAAATTAAGCTTGAACTTTCAATTATGTCAAAAAAGTTTCCAATTCTGGAGCTGCCAAAGGATCACAGAGCAAAAGCATGTTTCGACGTACAGCTTCCGATAGTGAAGAAAGTGACAGAGAGGTTATTGAAAACAAAAACATTTCGATTGATAAGTTAGTCGGTATTCTTGACACAGCAATTACAGGACTTGAACAACGGAACTGAACAAGAAATTATGTCTGTTTATAGAATTAAAGAGAAAGTATTAGCA